GTACCATGCTGAGGCGTGCCGACCAGAATGGTGACTTGTGTTTCGAAACCTAGTAGTAGGTTTGAGACAAAGTTTTGAGCTTAGGGCTTCAGTAACGTTCATTTGCGCACAGTGACGAGTCAAGAATCTAGCGCTGTTGTTGAGGCTCTCCATTCCACATGTGGGGCCAAATTGCGACCTGACCTGGTTCATTGACCCTCCGACCAGCAATTTGTGGTAAGTTCACCAGCCAGTTCCAGCACTTTGGTTTCGAATGGCATCCACAGACCTAGCCGCGCACGGCTCTAGAGATCATAGCGTGACGAGTGTTCGGTAATACCCGTTACGTAGAAACAGTCCCTGATTGCATCCAAGTTGTGCGCAGGTTCCCTCTCCAATTCGCCGTGGGCTCGCATTTGAAATGTCTTGGAAGTGTGTTCCAGATCAGCCTTTTTCTGTCTTCCTTAGTTTGAGAACTGAACTTGACAACAGTTTTCCTAGCGGAGCGAAAAACTCAGGCGTGGGCATCGGCTGAGCCGACACCAGGGTCGGGCATGGGCAGATCGACGTGCCGGAAGCCCAGGAGTACTGCTTGGGATTTCGGCGTTGGGATTTGCTGTTTAGGGGTAAGGGTAAGGGTTTTAGGCTTGGGGTTTCAGGTCTGCGGGCACTAGGATTTCTAGGTCTCGGAGACAGGGCTTCTGGCGTTCTTTGGATGCTGCTCCCATCCGATCGTGAGCCCTATGCGAGATGGACCATTTCTGGTGCCTGCTATTGCGTTTTTCTGTTGCAATGTACCCTGCTTATGAAACAACTTCAGAGCACAAGCAAGACACAGCAAGACAGTACGCGGACTGCAGCCCAACTTTGGGGCCGAGTGCCACACCTCCAGCGAATTGAGGCGGCGCAAACACGATATGTCGACACATGAGAGCAGGTCGCCCACGCACGCTACATACCCGTTGCAAAGGGTATGTAACAGGGCCGGGCCTGACGCGGCAACGCGCGACAGGGGGTATGTAAGCCCCGCATCTCAAAGGTATGTACGGACTAGAGGCTTGTCCGCGCGGGCGAGCGGTCGAGCGGGCACGGGATTTCGACTCACTTTCATATGCAACAGGGGTACTACATATTATAGTTCGGAGCCCAGAGGCACGGATTCCAAGACTTCAACCTCAAAATCCGCAAGGCATGAGCAACCACTTACTTGGGACATCATCCTCAAACATGGAAAACAAAATGGAAGATGAAAGGAAAACTGACTGAAGCACTTGGTTTCGGTGCTGTAGGTATGGACCACCACGCCTCATGGCCACCTGGGTAGCTGAACTGGAGTATCTAAGAGCCATTGTACGGGTGGTAGGAAATCCTGTCTGGGGTCCGGAGGAGCTTAGAAGAACAAGATGGAGGACCTATGTAGACCAATTTGGGTTCCATATAGTGAAGATATTAACCCCCCTGAATAATGGAGAATCAAGTGGAAAAGAAAATGGAAACTGGTTTATGGGGATTCGGGATCAGGAGCTTGAAGGGAACAACGGTCCGTGCTATGACCTGCATGACCGCATGGCGTCCAGCAACAGCCCCATCCCACCCTGTTGGTGCTCTGAGGTCCGTGAGGGACTCGGTTATGCCCGCTCCGGGGATCAGAAGAGTGCTTTGGAAAGGTGTTGCCAGCTCAATTATTCTTCGATCTGGTCAGAAGTTGGGTGCTACTCTTTAGACGCGCATCCTGCCATTCTACAGAACCAACCATCATGCAGAAAGTGAAAAAGAATCTCGACATCTTGAGGCCCACACTGGGCGATTCTTGTTCATGACTATATAATTGTTGCAAAACATTAGCCAGCCGCCAAGCCGAGCAGGCAAATCTGCAACAATGCATATGATTCACAAATCCTGCGTCGGACTACAGCATCCTGAGAGATTCTTGCCTACACGATTGCGTGTTGCGAGCAGTGAGCAGAGGACATGCCATGTTTGCTTTTGGGGACCTCTTGGAATGAGACTTGGAGAGCCAGAATCACATGGCCGCGTTGCAGCGCAGGGATCGTTAAGCTCATGCCGAGAAAACAGAGTAAGCTTTTGCCACAGGCTTTCTTCAACCAAGATCCGTTATCACACGTCTAGCTTTGCAACGAACACCATGTTCTTGGCCCGGCGTTGGTCGGTTCATGCACTGCAGCCAGCGCGCAGCTGGCGGTGGCCTGACTGCAAGTAAGCATTGCTAGTGGGTGTTGCAGGGGCAGGATTGATGCTGCGTTTTTGAGGCGTGTTGCTGCCGCAGCTTTCCTGAACATCCATTAATATAGCCAACAGCAGAACATGGGATGCCGAAGTACGAAGACAGACAGGGCATGCGGATTGATGATGGCCAGTTTGATCGGACTTCTGTGGTCCTCAAGGCCTGTTAACTGCGTAAGAAGATGCCTTTTGCGTTCTCTCAGGTGCTTTGCGTCCACACCTTTGGAGGACTCTTGCGCCGGTAGCAGTAGAGTGAGCCTGCCTACCCTACTTCCGTGACATCCTGTCGATTGTCTTCAGGGCAAGGTTTAGGAAAACAGGCTTGTACGAATCTAAGCACAGATCACTTGCTGAATATTGACGAGTCTGCAACTGCTGCCTGCAGAGGCCTTTGCAGAAAGCCTCGATGCTGAAAAACTGGTGAAGGACCTCTGCGAACCTTGGCCTTGCGTAAGCGAAACGGGTTTCGGTGTGAGACCGAATTTCCTTTCTACTCGGGTCGTAGACGATTTTCTTGAGATGGCTGTCACGCCTGGCAGAAGGGTCCCGCGCCATAGCATTCATCCAGAAGCTCGAGGCTCGCCCAGCGGCCGACACTCAATGTTTACATTTCGACAGGGAGCCGCGCGAGGTCAAACAAGATTAATTTTGCGCGGATAGCTTCTGATACAACTGGCATTTAGTATCATTCAGTTTCAGGCCGCTTTTCTGTCTCCCGAATTCTTTGGAGACTTCATGGCGTATAAGTAGAGATGAACTAGGATCTCCACAGGGACAGGATGCTCCCTCGGTCCTGCACTTGCTGTTCTGAACAGGGACTAGGTCAAAACAGATCCTCATACAGAGGCACCCGTGCAATCCCTGAGTAATCAGTCTCTCTCTCTCTCTCTCTCTGTCTCTTTCTTTCTCTAAACTTCCAAAACCTACCCAAATTCCTCATGACCGAAGAACCTGTGCATTTGCCCCAAAGCCCAGGACGCTCACCCCGTCTTCGTGATCTCTAAGCAGTGTCTGCATCTGCAAGCAGCGAATATTGGGGGGGGGATTCTCAAAAATGTGGGTGCAGCTTAGGGATCTTCAGTCTGGGGGTTCTTCGATTTTGGGGCAAGGAGGGTGCGACCTTGGTTGGCCTTTGGAACATGTTTTTAAAGGAAAGACTTGAAGACTTGCAAACATGTGAGCAGTCTAAACTCCTAGTATCCGCCTTTATAAGCCCTGCAATACTCCTTATATAATCCCCATTACTCCCCTGTATAACCCCCCTTAAGGAGTTTAGACTACAGTTCATCTGGCAATAACTTGGGACCTCTCGGTGCAGAGGTGTAGGGTAAAGGCCTGCAGACAAGCTGCAAGATAAAGAGGTGCTGATGCCGTAGGCTGCAAGCTTCACTCGCCAAAGGCCCTTGCATGACTTGGTCTCTGGAAGCACATGGGGGTTTCCCTCCTTTAGGGGTACCTTTTTGGGGGTCCCAATAATACTGAATACAATGTTGTTGCGTCTACATTGGGGTCCTCCACAGAGACATGCCTCAGGGCTTGCCCATTCTGCAAGAGGGCGAAGACCTTGCTTTCAGACTTGGAGGCTGCGGGGCTGTCTGACGTTGGCTTGAACTTCAGGATCAGGAAATCTCTGTGTTGTGGATTGAGTGTTTTCGGTGGCACGTTTCTTAGGCTAGATCACGTGTATCTGGGGTTTGGTGATGTTTTCAGGGGGCGCTGCAGTTTCCCGGAGCCATGTTTCTGCGGGAGGATACTGTATTTGCAGTTCGTGGTTGTTTTTGGCGGCGGTGGTGTTTCCGGCGGCATGTTTCTTGGAGAAGACGCAGTGTATGGAGTTTGTTCCCCGGATTATTTTAAACTACAAATAAGTCGAGCACGTAACCTTGTTGTATTGGGTGCCCCCCGCAATGATGCTGGGGGGTATCCAAAATACAAGGAAGCGCTTTCACCTTTGGCGTCTATATAATCCTACTGTAAGTTAAGTTTTAAACGTTAACCCTGTTGGGGCCGGGGTACTCAGCAACTAGGACAACATTCGGAATGGTGGTGATTTGACATGAGTGCAAGAGACTCGGGCATGAACCTTGCAACGAGCAGGCAGACTTTGCTTCGCACGAGCTGGACGGCCTCTCTGGTCCAGCAAAAGCTGCGCTGCAGGCTTCAACCGGAAATCCACTTCATCCCGCAAGGAGTAAGAAATCTCAATCTGCGAGGGGTTCTGTATCGGAATTTTGTTGGCTTGGGCCCTGCAACATGAGGATAGCTGACAGCGCATCAGCCAGCCGTAGGTTAGAGGCCTGAGACAGGTGAGGTTGAACGCATGTTCCAAAATCCCCTGTTGCGTTGAGTATCCCGGACCCACAACAAGAGCTCCCGTGACCTGACCTGCGGCCTCGGACTGCAAGATTGTCTCTCGTTGCATGTGCTGACGAACGTGACAAAGTTGACCTTCAGAAGACAAAGCTCCAACCGCAAGACAGAAGATAGTAGTTGTGTGATAGAACCTCGTGAGATCGAGGGAACAAGGCAGAACCTGAACTGGCAAGCGAATCCAGAGCAACTCTCAACCCCAGGCACTATATCACGGAGCCCCAAGACGGGGCCCATAACACCTTAAGAAACCCGCGTTTGTCTCAACGAAAGCACCACAGCCTGATACCTCACTCTCCGTGATCCAGCGAATCTTTTGGCCCAAGCTCATGTCCCTGTAGCCCTGCAGGCAACGCCGAATACCCAGTAAAAACAGTTGGGTATTCCACGGCGCGTCGTGCGGCGCAATGTCTTCTTCACTCATGGGTACCATCGTTGGGGACTACGAGATTGGCGGTTTCTTGGGCCGCTCGGTGCCAGTAGATCATCCATTCCCTCGCATACCCAGATTCCTCGCATGCACGAGAGCCTAGGCCGCGGCCAGTTTGCAAGTGTCAACATGGCCACGCATGCGAAGACTGGAGAAACCGTGGCGGTGAAAATCATCAACACGAGCAAAATGGATCGCGCCCAAGCCCTAGTTTGCGAGAAGGGGTGACATGGTGGGGTTTGGACTTTAATTTGTTTTGAGGCAAGGGTTTCTTTGTCCGGCACCGTACTTTTTACGTCTGGGAGCTATACATGAGAGTCCTGGGAGGGCAGTGATCTCCTGTGCGGTTCTATCGTAGACGCAGAGTGCTCCGCATGATATTCAGGGTGATACGCAGGGGACCCTGAACATGTGGCAGAGTGGAAATGCTTGTATGCCGAGCTGGTTTCTCGTTGAGTTGGGTACGCCTTCGTCATGAAAACTTTTATGATGTCTGAGTCTGATCTTGCTTATGTGTGAGTTGTAACACGTGCATGCATTGCTGAAGTTGCTAAAGCAGTCCGAGCCTCCCATGTCTTGCCGCGCATGCCAGGCGAGTGTAGGGGCCTTGCTTCTGACCAATGCATGTTCTTTCCTCTTTTCCATTTGATTCCTCTCCAGTTGGGGTGATATCCCTAAATGCTAAAGTTCCTTCAATTTCATTCTCCATTATTGGGTGTGATATCCCTAAACTCTAGATGTCCTTCCATTTGACTCCCCATTATTGGGGGTGATATTTTTAAACTCGAAATTTCCTAAGGCCAGGCCTAATTAGAAGTTACCATCTTCTTTTCCATTCCCCTGAGGTGAAGATCGAGCGTGAGGTCGAAAACCAGCGCGCGGTCCGCCATCCAAACATCATCCGTCTGATGGAGATAACAGTTCCTTTGCCCAGAAAGCCTCTGCAGGGTTTATGCTATAGTATATAGGGGTTGTATAAGGATAATGGAAAAGAAAATGGAAACTGCTATAGTAGGATCTATGGTTTGGGGTTTAGCTTGCCTTTGCCCATAAGGCCTCTGCAACCCCAGGCTCCCTCATCTTGGATTCTTGCAGTCTAACGCTTCCGCGACGTTGGAGGGCATACAGAGCTCCCAACAGACTTCTTAGTATATTGGGACTACAGAGGTTATATAAGAAATATAGGGGTTGTATTCTATAGGGATAATGGACAAGAAAATGGAAACTACGCCATTCTAGTAGGGTTACTGGGGTGTTATAGTCCCCTTAAGTAGATAAGATATGATAAAAAAAGAGCCATATTCTATCTACGCAAGGGGGACTATAGTCGGGGAGTACGCAAACCGGCCCTTAAAAGGAAGTGGATGGCTTAGTCTTCGTCTTCATGGAGCGAGACTTGGCTGCAAGGGGCGGCCTCAGTTTTCGGGATCCTATTCTATTATTAGGGATATTTCAGGGATAATGGAAAAGAAAAATGAAACTTCTATAGTATTTTAGGGGTTCATATAGGGGACGATTATAGGGGTTATATGAGTCTCCAACTTTCAGAGGTGATACTAGCCTAGACTTGAGTGTCCTGATACTTTGGTCAAACTGCACTCATGGCTCCACGTGGTAGATTCCATACATCAGAGGACTCCAATGTACGCCCTCACAAAGGGACCCCTAATGTTGGGAAACCTCGATATGGGAATTTCCCAAAATTAGGGGTACCATTTTGGGGGTCCCTATAATAAGGATTATAGTGTATTGGGGTCTATTTTGGGGTCCCCTTATTTAGGGAAACTATCATATTCAGCTTCATCCATCTCAAAGCTGAAGCTGTCTGCCGCCGGGAGTCCACGAGGAGCTCTCAGCGCAAGTTACCAGATGATGGTGTACTGTTGAAGCTTTAGCTGGGGTTTAGAGTTCAGGGTTTAGGGTTTAAGGTCTAGCCTGTAGAGTTTAGGGTTTAGAGTTTAGGGTTTAGGCATTGCAGTTTAGGGTTTAGGCATTAGAGTTTAGGGTTGAGGGTTTAGGATTGATCTTCGAAAGTCCCCAATGTTGTCGGATCCTTCATCGAACATGGCAATGTGGTACTTTCCCAAAATGAGGGGCCCAAATACTATGATCCTTGTTATGGGGACCAGCCGAAAAAGTACCCCAAATTTCAAGAAACCACAATGTTTTTTGTAACTTAGGGGGGCCCTCATATACACCTTACTCCGTTGCACTCCTTAAGCAAGCCCCTATAAGTCCCCTACATAATCCCAGTCTCCATCTCATGTTCCATTTGTCTTTCCATGCGGTTCTCCATTATGGCAGCTTACATCCCCATAATCCCTATCTAATCCTAGAAAATAGCCCTTATATGATTCGAAGATGATCCCTGCACAATCCCGAATTAATCCATGTAAATCCCGGTATAAGCTTATGTAACCACTGCATATAGCCGAACTTTACCCTCATGCAACCCTGTAAGCCCATGAGATTTTTCATGTTGTTCTCCATTTGATTCTCCATTGTTGGGGGTATCTTCTCTATGTACCCCCTATATAATCCCTGCGTAATCTCCTCTGTATGTGTATATATATATATGACCTTTTATAGCCAGACGCCAAGTAAAGGAGCAACAGGGGGCGACCTCTTTGAGCTGATCATTGCCCGGCGCCTTGCTCTTTAGAGCTGGGACCATGATTTGGCTGTTTCTCCAAATGGGATACAAAAGGTTGATATAGGGATCACCTAGGGGTTAGAGATTATGCAAGGCATATACAGAGATGGTATAGGGAGAACATGGGGTCATATAGGGATAAAACTCATGAAGAATTAAATGGAAAAGAAAGTGGAATGGGAGCTGAACTTACTTTCTTCGTTTATAGGGGTCAGAGCCCCCATAAATTTGGGGTCCTTTTTCGGGGACTCGAATAGATGCTCAGCAACCTCAATCCTCCACTGTAGCTCCTTATTTGGGTTTTGTGGTATGGTATCGTTGTTAGGATGCTTGTCACGACCAGTACAACAAAACCTTCGGCAAGGGCTTCGACGATCTCTTCTAGTCGAAGCGTCTGAGCAGATGGATGTTGAAGACCGGCTTTGCTGTCGGGATGGGAGTGCACGTAGGATGGGCCCTCCGCATGATGAGCAACCCAGGGCTTACTCCGTCAAGAGTTTGTCATAGTATGTCATAGGCAAACAGGAAAGCTATTGGCAGCTTGACCTGCCCGTGGCAGGCGGCTGTGCTTACACCTACCAAACTTATTGCACAGCGAGCAGCTGCAAACGGGAGTTGAGTTCTCTGCCTAGGCGACCTGATCTCAGATCTGCGGACTTGACTTAGGAGACTCTGTGCAAGCTGACATGGGGTAGGCTCTGTTGTTCATCTTAATCAGCAAGAAGTTTGTATCGCAAAGCCTCTAAAGTCTTCATGCGCCACTTGCCTGCTCCGCCCCAAGGAGCCGACTTCAGGAACCAGAGGCTCGGCAGTACTTCTGGCAGATTGTCGACGCAGTGAGCTTCTGCCATCGGTGCCTTGCTGACAGTTAGGTTTTGGGGCTTAGGATTTGGAGTTAGGAGGTCGGGATTCATGTTTTGTGCGTGATTACGCTCGGGTTGAGTTGTCGTGCAGGCATGTTTGGATTGAGCTGGGGTCTCAACCTGTCGCATCCACAGTTCATGGGGAGCATCACAAGTTGGAGGATTGGATGGCCCGCGAAAGTTTTCGTTGTGCAGTTACACAAGTTCCTCCTGATCGCCATGCTGTTGTTTCGTCGTGCTATGGCCCCTGCCAGATCGGTCGAGCAGCAATGTGCCTATCTGAAATGTACACCGAAAGTATAAAGTACTCTTTAACTCATCTGGCTTTCATCTACAGTTCACTCATGGGATGGGAGGTTTTGTGCAGAGTATCCAGAATCTAGGCTCCAGCTCGATGGTGGCGTTTGCCGTCCGTTCTGATCCAAGCAGTGGCAATACCACAACTAGTTGTGGCCTTCGTCTTAGCATGGGTCGCTGCACCCGACACGGCAACAGTAGTAGCATGACGGCCACTGCTTTTTTGGTAGTGGTAAGAGTGTGGTAAGATTATGAACGGGAAGCCCAGGAATGGCGTGGTACATCGTGATCTGAAGCCGGAGAACATCTTCCTCGACTCCAACGCACCTCTGCGCCGGTTGGGTGGGTGTTGGGCAGGGTGCTGCCGAGGGGCGATTAGTTCAACAAGGAGAACCAAATTCTGAGAGTATCAGTTTGCAAAGACCCCAAACCCCACTAGAAGTTCCAAATTGGAGGGTTGTTCCAAGAAGCCGTGGGGGCACGGAGGGGGCTTCCTGGCACGAGGACATGCAACTCATGCCTCCAGCATGCCGCCTCTAAATACAGAATGGGGGTCAGCAGCAATTCGTCTGAGGTTCGTAGACTGATGATCGAGGTTCTATGCTGATGTCCTGCCGGGATGGGTGCTGGCAAAGCTTTCCGGTACGTAGCTGCTGTAAACCATGGATGACATGCATGAGCTTTGGCTTTGTTGCTTCCCAAAGCATTTGTGCTCAACGCCTCAAACCTGACCGTCGGCCCACCCTGGAGCTACCCGTGCATTTTGTACTCCGCTAGCTCGGCGGGCCCCTGCATTCGGCACTCCGTTAGCTCGGCGGTCTGCCACGTTGACTGTAAGCCAGCCTGCACATGTCCTGAAGCTTGCCCCTTGTGCTGCGACTTGTGGTAATGACGCGGGACCCTTGCCGTGATCTAAGATGAACGTGAAGCTGGGAGACTTTGGTTTGTCGGCGAGATTCGAGTGGGGTATCTGGGACTGATCAGCACATGCTTCTTGCGCTTGCCACACTGCATTGCCGCATCCCCAACATGCAAGCTCCGAAGACTCCACAAGCTCCAACACCTGACCCCGGTGCCAAAAACCAGAAACTCAGCCACGAAGACTTTCTCAAGCAGCAAGATTCAAGCGTCGAAGCTGCAAGTCAGACAGTGGAGCCCTGCAGAGCTTCGCAATCATTACATGCAAACCTCGGCTTTTATTGTAAGGCAGCACTTAGGATGGAATATGATTTGAGTGGAACTTGAACACCTACATTTCCTGTTAAAGCCCTTGACGGGCATGCCGACACGTGCTATCATGACCTGGACCTTGAATTGAGGAACCCCTCTGACAGAGTCGGTGGGCTCCCCGAACTACGCATCTCCAGAGCTGCTGCTCCCGGGTTTGATTGGGTTTGTTCTCAAAATTATGGGCGCCATGTGGTTATGGAATAAACCCTAAACCCTATATATAAAGAGGTGCTGCAAAAATAACAACCGTATTTATAGGGCTACCAAGATTGAATTCTAATTTTGGGAACTACCTACTGGTTGAAAGCTTTCGATGCCGGCTTTTTGAGATTAGAGTATTCAAGGTGTTGCGGTTAGGGCTTAGGGAGCTTAGGGTCTAGGGCTTAGGGGGCTTGGGGATCAGGCTTAAGGACTTACCTGTGGGGGCTTTTCAGACTTCAGGGTTTAGGATTCAAGGCCTGGGATGACCTTCACCGACCCCAACCAAGCAAACCACGAGCAGGTATAGTTGCGCGATCATCATGTTTTGTAAGTCCGACGAACTGGCAGTTGGAAAAATAAAGCAAACAAGCAGAGAGGTCTCTTGGTCTCCCAGAAACGATGACCTCTTCATACTGTGACGTAGATGGCCCTCCCAAAAAAGCACCAAACCTCGCATCCAAAGCATGTATGTAGATTGCTTGACCCTAAATCTAGCTGAGCTCGCCCGAACCTGAACCGTTGCAAGGTGCATTGTGCTGTGGGAGTTTCCGCAAATAGTCCTGGGTCCCCAAAGGCCAGCAGAAACCACAGTGGAAACCTAATCAGAGCCCCAATACGCAGCTCCAACAAGAACCTACGTCGAGACTGCTTTGCATGGCGCCCAACGGGGCTGTAACAGGCCAGCACCTATACTTTCCAAACATCCTGGAAGCACCTAAGCAGTATTCTAACATCTAGGACTAGGATTCCGGATCACTAGGATCTCCTGCACAGCCCGTCAAAAAAAAAAGGACCCACGGCTTTCAGAATGAACTAGATCAACTCCTGTACACTCTTGGGGTCGGAGTGGTTTTGAAGTGCTTTTGGATTTTGGAGATGTTGTGGAGTGCTCTTCAGTGTTCTTGGCTTTTAGCGTGCTCTTGGAAGGCTCTTGAAACGCTCCTGGACTGCCTTGGAGTGCTATTTAGTGTTCCGGTGTTCTCGAGGGGTTTGTGGGACGACTGTTTGGGGTCTTCGCCGCAGCATACTTATCAATCCCTGTTGTCATCAGTCCAGCTCCAAAAAGCAATCGTAGCCGTCGTAGCCGCCAGACAGGCAGCGCGCATGCAGCTACCAAGGTCCTGAGGCGGGGAAGTGTTACATGTAGTGTTCAGGGCCGACAGGGATGCTGCGCTGAAGTGCAGTGAAGGCTGGTATCTGGGATGTTGGTTCCATTTGGCAGCATGCGTCGAAGGTTGGGGAGCTAGTCAAAACGACCAGGTGTGTCCAGAATATCGCGCTGCCATAGCATGCCTCCCAAGCCAAGCTTAACCTCTGCGCTCCTTTTTCAAGTGAGCATTTGCCGGGTAATATAGACCCGGGCCGCACACTCTTAAGCTGTAACCACTGCAAGCGTAGGCTGGGAACATCCTCGCTAGCAAGCCCTTTCATTTGCAGCCTGCTAGCAACTGCCTGTTGCAAAGGTCGACGTTTGGGCGCTGGGGTGCGTCCTCTACGCCATGATTACCGGGACTGACATTGCACACCCTGGTGCGGTGTTTGCTTTGGAGTTAGGTTACTCCTCTGCACTGACTCCTTGAGATTAGACTTACGCCTTGCGGGAAAGCTCGTAACTGCCCAGTTGGTCTCCTTTAGATTTTGCAGTGATTGATATTATCGACAGCGATGCTAGTTGCTTACCACGCTATCGAACCGAGCACCATGTGCTTACTACGCTTCGGTCGGCACTGAAGTGTATATCTTGAAGGCCGACCATGAGTATTGTTGTAAAGTTCGCTATGGCTGTATTTGGGGTTATGCATCTAGACGCAGCCTCATTTTGATGAGCGGGCTAGCTCGCGCTGCCACCAAACTTGATGCAAGGTAGACTTTCAGAACTTGCTCACTAGGTCCTACTCTCCTGCAAGAGTGTTCCATCTGGGGCAGGACGTTGCCCTTTGATGCAGACAGAATTGATGCTCTGTTCAAGCTCATCAAGTCTGGCACCTACCGACTCCCGGCGACATTTGGCATAAGACAGAAGCTGTGCTTCAGACAATTCCAAAGAAATCGTGCTCACACAAGAACACGTGCACATCTGTGTTCCCTGATATCTGTTAAAACTTACTCGCTGCAGTCGCCTCCAAGGTCCGCAGCTAAAGTCGGGCCAGGAAATGTGCATGCTGCCTCTTATCTTGTGTGATAAACCTCCACCTTCGAAGCTGGAGGCATGCCTGGCTATGTCTCGGTGGAGGCTAAGGAGCTCCGGATCCTGGTGGGGTCCCTTCACAAGGGGCATGGGGCTTTGAAGGGCGCACAGGTATCGCATTTGGACATTTGGGTGTACCGGGTTGCCCAAGTTTAGGGGTCGACTTTTCGGAGCTTCTGTCTTAATCGCCATATGCGAGCTTGTACAACGAAACTGATACTGATACATGGGCACATAGTCTTCTTGGAGCCTTTAAGATGGGTCACGGATTGCACTGATGTTGAGCACATCCCCACTTTGTGTACGGCTGTGTGTTTGGTAGGCGTCACAAGGGCACAATGTCGATATAGTGCAAAGGGGATTTCATAAGCTAATGTTTCGGGAGCTGATTTTTGAGGATTTGCTCAAAATCAGTACATTCCTGATGGGAGACCCCAAAAGAGGATCCTTTGGCAGCTCGTCAGGAAACAGGCTATGGAAGCTAGTCGAGGGATACATGGATGCTGCTATACAAGCTGATCGGGCCACAGGAGGCGAGGTGTGTTGGAATTGTGAGGAGGCTGACAATGGGTTACTGCGATTCGAAGCCAGGACTCCTGAGCCACCACTTTAGATCCAATGCAATCTACCTCAATCCAATGTAGGACTGCCGAAAATCTATGCTCCTGCGAAGAGGACCTCATCTCCAAGATGCTGACGATTGACCGGGACGCTCGCGCCTCTGTGGTGGCTTGGACGGAGCTGTCAAGGGATCTCACGCAACAAGTGCTTTCAGGTGTACGGTCGTGGACCGCAAGCCCTGAGCTGACATCTTGCATGTTCCAGAAGCCCAACCAAGGGGTCAGCCTAGAGGGAGGTGTAGGCAGGCCGAAAGCATAGGGCATAGGTTGGGCAGGAAAAGATTCTTTCAAGCCCACAATCCGCTGCCCACAGCTGCTGGCAGCAAAAGTGGAGGCGGACGTCCAGAGGCACTGCTGGTTGGAAGAGCAGGCCAAGAAGTCGGTGCCTGCCAAGGAGGTGAAGGCAAGATGGCTGCTCGATGCCACTCACGCTGTTGTAGAAAGTGTCGAAAGATCTTGGTTGTTCAAACTTCTTGTTTAACGCGCAGCCCATAACACGTGTTGTCACGACGTGGTCCACCTCGATCTTTAAACATCCACCATCCCTTTTCGGTTTCAATCTCAAAGTCTTCCTGTGACATGTAAGTTCTCCGTTGCGAGTCTTGCTGCCTGGTCATCGCATCTTCAGCTGAGGTTCAAGTTTCGGATAGTTGAATTCCCAAAGTTTCAACCACAACACTGCAACAGGCCGCCGACGACCCAAACCCGAAGCTGCTGGCCAAGATGCTGCTGGCTGAACTGACACGTTTGTCGTGAGAATTTCTACGAAGCTCCTTCAGGGACTTGCCCCATCCTTGAAACAAACACCCCAGGTGAAAAGCTCACTCTGGTTGGAGTGAAGGGAGTTTGGGTCTGTGGCAGTTCCAAAGTTTGATGCGTTTGTGCATTAAGGGGCCTGGGTTTTAGTGTGCGGTATTAGGGTCAGCAGCTGCAGACGTGCGGTCTTGAGAGTGCAGGAGCAAGCGTTCAGAGGTAAAACACAGACTGGAAAGGTTCGCCGCTTTGTAGGGTCTGTAGGTTTTTTTTAAGTTGACATCATAATGAAGAAGATGAGTAAAGAAAGCTGCTGTTGATGCGTGTCATCCCAGTTGTACATATGTGGGTGGATGGCGGCAGCACGTTCAAAACCTGCAGATGCAGGCAGGCGGTTGGCGTGGGGTCAACCTGGCAGTAGCCAGCGAAACTATACCGTATATTGCACACGTACTTCACTGCGACCCAACAAGAGAGACCTTAAAGATTAGAATTTCGCCAGGCCATGACAGATGGCGGTGCCAACCAAGTCTCGCACAAGATCCGCTCCTGCCGCAGTTTTGGGTCAGGGTCCCAGTCTCAAAGCCAAATTGCAAGCAGAGGGATCCTGCATGAAAGGTACATGGCCACATACAAATGGTGACCCTCTTGCTCATTTCCTGCAAGAACAAACCTGCTTCAACGACAAGACTCTTCAATATGGTACAGTAATTTCCCAATGCAGGCGGACGCCAATATACACCCTAATATTCTGTAACCCCTCTTCGAGGGACCCCGCAGAAAGGTATAGCTGATTTTGGCAAACCCCCATTTTCCTGCATCATCACAGCTACGAACCCGCTCCCAGCTAAATCCCCAAACGCGGCTCAAGATCCAACCTGGCAGTAAAAATTATAGGAATAATGGAAAAGACAATGGAAACTACAGGGATTTTAGGGACTATACAGGGATTATTGGGATATATATTGGGCTATATTTAATAGTAGTAAATCGTAATAATGGTACTAATTGCAATATAGCAGTCATAATCGTAGTCAAAATTGGGACCTCAGCAAGGACTTGAGAGAGAGCCCATACAGCTCAGCAGGAACAAAGGACTAGTTGGAGCAGGGTCCTCAAAATGGAAGATTTGGTTCTGCCAGTTTGCATCTTTCATATGAGCATTGCAATTCTACCCTCTACCCACGACAGTGTTTGCCCGCAGACATACAGAAGTTCAAAGTTGGGAATTCCCTTATGCCCAGACAAACATGTACATACACAGCAAAACACAGCAAAGCACGCTTTGAACCATGCTTCTGGGGATATTGAAACCGTCTGAAACACCAGCAGCAAGCAGGACAGCACAACAGGAAGTGATTGATTGAAGGTCTAGCTGCCTCAGTCTAGCCACAGATTGCTCACATGTGCTTCTGAAGGCATGTGACCGCCAAGCGCCGAGCCAGTCAGTGCTGCTTGGTTGGCACTGTCTTGGATGGTCACCAACATGTTCAAAAAGCATTACTGGAAATAACATGCAGTTTTCGTACAAGTCACGGGCACAAAAACTGGTGAACATGCCTATGCTTGTCATGGGACCCGCTGCTGCTATGTTGTGGATGTAACTGTCTTGTCTGCGACCACTCCGCCGTGATCTGGAGCTCTCTCAACCCCAAGATGTCCAATAGCTTGGTGCATTAGCATCGCTAGAACACGCGTCTATGCCAATTCGGAAGTGTTTGTAGCCCAGATTCGTGCGGTGCGCAGGGCAAAGTGTATACAGTATCTGCACAGAGGCCCGAGCTTGACCCTCAACTCTGCACTACGCATCAGGTTTACATGTTGGCACCACTGATTCCCGCATCGCATGACAACACTAAGGCTCCTCGTTTGGAAGTTTTGCCCGAGCATGTTCCATGGAGTCTGTCGTTACGACGCCGGCATGCTGAGCTGTGGGAGAAAGTGTTACCCCAGCACGCATGGACGAGCGCAAAAGCAGGGCTGAACAAGCAAGAACTTGCCATGTTTCCTAGCGGTCCTAGCAGCGGAATATGCAGCAGCGTAAAACAGCATTAGTTTTGACTAGTGAGAGGGGTCTTGCAGCGACTTTCCTTGACTCACTCCGACATAGTGCACATTTCAAGAAGTCGCTTGAGAGGCAGATGGATCATGCAAGGCCCCACGCACTACCAGCTCCCAGAGGATGGAGAGGATAGCCCGGGATCATCTCTAGGATGTCTTGCAGAATCTAGCTTCGGATTTACGCTTGGTGCGTGCCCATGCCATGCTGGAGGGACAAGTGGCCGGACTGTTTGAATTACCACCGTGGTTGCTTCGGCTGGGGGCTGGCATTACCTGAACATACCTGAACACAGCTGCGTGTACCTTAGAGTGAAGGGTTTTGTCCCGCAGAAGTCCTCGCGGACCATGCATCTGTCATATAGGCACTTCCACCCCCCTCTGATTGGATTCTGCTTTTGGAGCTGTCTTCTATGCAGCCACCCATCGCCGGTTTTAGTAGCCACGCGTACGAACTTACGAAGTGGCCCCTCCGGCGGAATCAATGATTTCCTGCCACATGGAGGGAGATACATTTTTGAGAAACGGGTCCAACGTTATCAGTACTTCAGCGAATGTGTCGAGTTCTGTTTCAATACATACTGCCTGGGATCGGCATGTCCTTGGAATAGGAGAACGAGTCCTAAGAGACTCTGAAACCCCAAAAAGTCTAGGGTCACGAGGGGGTCATGGCCGCTGTTATTGTAGGCACTCCTAGGATAGACTCTATAGACCGCAGGAAATTCAAGTTACTCTGGCCCGTATGCGCTTGTAATGACAGCCCTTCGAGTTGCAGACAAATCCTTGTGCATTATGGTTGTGTTTTCAGAAGAACTTCATAGTTTGTCTTCATGACTTGACTTGCGGTTCTGTAGCCTGGAAGCTCTTGAGAAGCTTGAGGGCTGACGCATCCTTGCTATGACGTCTACAGCACATCTAACCTAAATGACTGAAAGGCCATTCCCCTCTCCGAGATCCCTAGCTGTACTCGCAGGGCAGAAACGCCCACTCGGAGGGCAGGTATGCAAATGCAAGCATCTGGAGGCGTCTCAACACCAGAGGCTCTGTCAGATTTCCTGAAATCAGAAATCTACTTGCAACTATGCGGGTTTATTATGGGTCCTCTCAGTTGAGACAGAACCATCTCCTGCGATGGGGAGTTGATGCCCAAGGGTTTGGATCCTTGAAACTTAGCCAAGTAAAATTCAAGCCTGACACGAAACGGGCTGAGGCACTTAGCAACCAAGTGTGGCAGTCGAGCAAAGTAGCTTTAGCATTTTTAAGCCGGCATTTAAGGAGCTTGAAGCACTAGGCCAAGTGCACGGCAGTGTGACAGTTCTTTGGAATGGCCTAGACGTGACTCGACGTGCATAGCCAGAACATGAACAGCGCTTGTCATACATGCTCACTTTGCAAGTTGTGCTACCTAATTAGGCTCTTGATCGGGTATCTTCAAGCTGTGTTCAAGTGGCACTTGTTCCATGAGAGCTACGTAAGGCCTGAAACACCTACGGTAAGCACTAAAACAGTTCTTCAAAGGCTGCCCGTGTTTGATCCTTCAGCAAGCCCTTGGATAGCTCGCTTGGCATGAGGGAACCCGCTTATGGCGGTGCATTGCTCACGTTGGGACTTGCTCACGTTGGGAAGACACGTCCGGGATCCTGTGCGTTTGCTGAAAGACTCCCAATGCTTCTATGGAACATTCAGGCTGTCTACTGTATGTGGTGAATGGACGGAGGATCCCACTTGAAAGGTCGTGTGCAGCTTGCGCTTTCTCTTCTTGGAGAGACAAAGGCACATGGCTTTGGCCCATGGCTTCACTTGCGTACAGACGCTGTGATGGTAAGGCCACACTGGGTTGGCTTTGATGCGCCCCACTAATCCTGGTCAGCCACGTTCAGAGTCGGAAGGAGTGCGAAGGACCGTCAAGGTCACCTCAGTCCAGTGGCATGAATCAGGGCCTAGGTTTGCTGCTAGGCTTATCACCTGACATTCTATAACTATTGCATTCTACTGTTGCAGCGGCCTTGGTGAAGCATCTACCTAAACCTCAACATGCACAACGGATATGGAGCAGTAGAGGGTGTTTGCCCTTTATTTGCGCTGATTCACTCGCCACAATTCATGAGTCAAGGGTTTCCCCGACCAGCCCTCAGTGCTGTCTGGAAATGCCAGGGGTCCAAGTCCGAATGCACTGGGCCTTCCAGCACGCAACGGAAACACTGTTGAGGGTGACGGTGATTTTCTGCCTGAAAGTGCTGGCGCTGACTGATGAGTATAAGCAATCAGGTTATGTGGAACGATCGTTCAGTCACTAAGTCAGGCGAGAGGAGTAACATACCGCGCGCCAGCGAGGGGCATCTTAATTCAGAAGGCTGCAAGTTGGGGCAGTTCTGGTCGACATTCAATTTCAGGCCTTACAACATAGGGATGTAGATGCAGACCTTCACCTGACCTAATACACCCACATGGAGTGCCCTGGAAACTGTGAAGTTGTCGACTAATGCTGTGCCTTCAAATCCTTTACAGCTCCGAGCTCCTCCCACTGGAGGCGCGACCTCCAAGTGGAAGCGGAGACCCAACGAGGAATTCGGGAAAGTTGAGAGACTTGCAAAGCAGAGCAATGCCAGGCAGAAGTGAGGAGACTTGATTCTCCAACTCTGAATCCCTCTACCCAGTCGCCCTTGCGGCGTGTACAGCACCTGGAAAAACACGCATAACATGGCAGCCTTGCTGCATCTGTCAAGCAAAAGATGCTGCCAGTCAAACCATGAGCTTAATTAGTTTTAGCAATACCTGGTGGGCGCACCGGTCTTGAGGGAGAACCCAATCCATGGCTGGACCCGCAAGGCAACCTGATCATGTGTGCGCGTTAGATTCCACAGGACAATCCTAGCTGCTCCCATACAAAGCGAGCGTGATTGTACGTTACCATGTATTTACCTGGCAGCTCCATGCTGACACAAGACTGGGGAGGGGAGGTCAACTCCTCGTAGAAGGACTTCAAACCTTTGTTAATCCGACTGACGGTCCCAGAAATGCGCAGGAAACCAACCCTCACTGCAAACGACAGAATCATTATACGACCCACCCAAGTTGTGAAGCACTAAGCCGCTCCGAAGGCCCACTTCAAAGCGACCACAGGTGCCGGGTCAGTGCCAAGGAGTCCAGCATTTGGTCTGTGATGCCATTTACCTAGGTTGAGCAGACATACCTAGCAGTCAGCGTGGTAAGTACTACTTAGCTGAATTGTATTCGGAGTCGGGGCAGAGGGCAGATCAAAAACCATGGCCAGAGCGTGTGACAAGATAATTTGTACTCAGGCTATACTTGGACGATTGCGCGGATTCTCCTGGTTCAACTGTTGCCACAGACATGCAGCATCATTCTAGAGTTGTTTCTGCAATTTCGTTCTGTGGCTTTCACAGGAAACAACAACTTAACGAGAAACCTTGCAATCTGTGACATGTGGAGGATTTTCATCGGTGGCAAGTGCGAGGGAGGATTCAGTGAGGTGCGAGGGCAAGGGAGATACTGGGTTGTTGGGCGTTTTGCTTAGTTATATGGCATCCAATCATTTTACCGGGCCCATTTTGAGACACGCCACATCTTCTTCCACGATGCCAGCGTTGAAGTTGAGAGTTATAGGTTTCAATTGCCATCTCCCCCGCTCAATCAGAAGACTACACTGCTTCCTGGTGTAGTACATAAATCATTCCCATCAGACGTATCATGCTCATGATCGCACTTACACGACCACTTCTGGCTACGCCGCTTTGCACATGAAGCTCATTGTAAAGTCTGCTTCTCAATATGAGCTGTAGTCTAAACTCCTTAAAGGGGGTTATATAGGGGATTATACAGGGAACTACTATAGGGGATATTAAGGGGGATACCAGGAGTTTAGACAGTAGCTTATATAACATTCAGGCGCGGGTCTCTGTCTAAGAGCAGGCTCTGAAGTCTGTTTATATGGTGACCCTATGCGACCTTGATTTGCTTCAGCATGAGGAATCCTCCATCATCCTCGATCTGTCTTTTCGAGCTATACGGGGCATTGCACAGCATCAAGTGACACATGCAACACGTTCTATGCCACTCTTAAGTGGCCTATGAAAGCAGTTGCAGGCCAAATCCACCCCAGTGCAATGCAGGAGGAATAGTTCCTATAGACAAGTTAAGGGCTGTCTCACAATGGCCCCGAGATTTCGAATTAAGCCCGCAGGAGCCAAACATTTCTACTGAAGCCAGCTTTGACAATTGAAGAGTTTATGTTGCAGGCTTCCAACCTTGTCTGCCCTACCCGTAACTCCACATTGACATACCCACATGGTAGTTGTATTCCAGTAGTTGCCAGGTATGACCATCTAAGCTTCATGCAAATGAAGCCAGAGGTAAACCCTACAAATCCCTGGCAGCGCAGACTCGAGGTTCAGCACAACCCTATGGTAGTTTCCATTTCTCCATTATCCCAGTATAACTCCAATACAACCCCAATATTAAATCCGCCAGGTTCAGCACAAGCTCTGGACGGGTCAGCTCGTACCTGCCCTGGTGGCCGTCGGGGCACTATCGGAGCCGCAGCCGGCAGCTGTATCTTGCGGCTTACTTGGAGGGTCACGGGGACTTAGTAAGTAGGTTAATAATGGGTTATAGGGGTTATTGACCTACTTACTGAGTCCCTTTGATCCTCCATGTAAGCTCAGCTCAAATACTAGATTTAAGGTTCCACGTTCTATGGACAATCCAGGCTTGGGAGCAGGCACAAGTGTCCGATAGGTTGAGTTCTGAAGTCCCGTGCAGGGCTGTATGTTCATCCAATTCAAGAGACGGGATGTCTAGGAGCATGGAAATTGCATCGCCAGGAGTCCTCCCCTGCGGCGAAGGGCGG